TAGTGACTCGAGCTGCTTGAGGCGATCCGTCAAGGTGTTTGTCGGAGTGCGAACAGGCGACAGCATAGTGTCTAACACTTTATGCCAGTCAAGGCCTACTTCAAACACACCGGCTTGGGCGGGAACTAGTGTTAGGGGATCAGCAAGTTGCTGGCCGAACAAACGGGGCAACTGGTTAGGCTGATATCTCGTAGTGGGTTGTACACTCCTAGGTGTGTCAGAGGGCGGACTACCGGAAGGAGGTCTATGCGGGGCAAGTCTTCCACCGGATGGCGGCTCCTCATGACTGTCGGCGCGTGGAGCGGCCGTAGGTGTCCACCACGAGTTGTCTAACACTGGCGGTGCGGCTGCCGAGGAGGCAGCCTGGGTGGCCCACGCTGAGTCGCGAGGTACTGATGGCACATTTGCAGGTTTACCATACGGAAATGGGTAAGGACTAGGTGGTGGCGGCTTTTTCTTAGGAGTTAATGGCTCGGAGGAGCTGCTACTGGTTGTCGGCCTGGATCCCGCTCCCAAGAAGCTGATCTACCGGTTAGCGAACCTGGCGGGGTCTTGTAGGGAAGCCCCGATGCTGAGTGGTGGCTAGGTGGTCGATCAGGGGATTTAGGTGGGGACTGCTGGGATCTTGGGGTCGATGGCTCGCCTTGGTCGTCGTCGCCATCCCCAGGTGGGTTTGGATCAGACGGGGCAGCAGCCGAGAGTCCTGCGCCAACTGGTACTCGATTCCCAGCCGGCAGCGGCTTGCCCGTGTTGTCGGTCTCCACGTGCACCGGTCTGTTGCGTTCCTCGAAGGCCTCGAAAGCTCTGCGCTTCGCCTCAGTTGACAACTGTCTGACTGCGGGTGGCGGAGGCTTGATCTTTGTTGGAGGGGATCGGGAACGAACGGGACGCGCCTTGCGCGGCGTCTTCAGTGCTTGCGGCGGCGCAGACGGCGAAACGACTGGCACCGCAGGTGGCGGTGCGCTGCGTGACCTCGGCGTCCCGACAACGGGGGACTTGGCAATCGGGGGTGCGACAGGTGTTTGCCTCAAGGGTGGTGCATTCCGCGCCGAAGGCGGCGGCTGTGGAGATACCGCTGGAACAAACACTGGATCAACTACCAATGAGAGCTGAGGCTCCTCTAGGTCTGGCGGCAGTTGAGGCACCCTTAGCTTTACCTTTAGGGACTACTTGTCGGACATGAGGGGGCGTTACAGGGGGCGTCCCCTTTAGTGCATCGGCGCTCACGACAACGCGGGCGCGTTTGGATGCAGGTTCGACAAGACTGGGTTTAGGATGATGGGCTTGGGTGCCCTTAGGACGCTCACCGTCAAGCCATGTGAGCCAACTGCTGGCGTCCTCAGTACGACCCTCTAGGTTACGAATGCGTCGAGAACGGGCTTCGGGATCGGAATTGTCCGAATCCTCTGCATCTAGCTCATAGACCTCTGCATTCGGATCGACCTGGATGGTGGCGGATGAGGGAAGCAGGTGGTCTCCCTCGGCTTGTGGAGTGCTAGACCAATCGAGGTCGTACACGCGGTCACGTGCTTCCTCAAGCGGCACCGACGGCTCATGCTCTCGGTCCCATTGGGACCTACGCAAGCGGAATGAGGTCAAGTGTCGATGAATGAATGCTCCGGGACCTGGTGTCATGACAACCGGACGAACTGGTTCCGCGCCAGAGGCAGCGGCTTTTGCACTCGTTGTTGGTTGGTCCTGATCTGACTCGAGCGCCTCGGGCGAGGCAGCCCCTTGCTCTTCCTCTTCTTCCTCCTCCTCAACCACGACGTCTTCTTCCTCCTCAACCGTGACCTCCGGTTTCGCCTGCGACAATGCTTGCCCGAGATCACCACGAAGCGCTGCTCCGCCCAACGCATTGGAGGCGTGGGCCTTGGCGTGAGCAAGTTCGTTGTTTAGTGATTCGAGGTTATCGTCTTGTTCATGCATCACGGACAAGTCAAGACGGTCAGCATCAGGCTTAGTCGGTCTCACTGCAGAGACAGGTCGAAGAACAGGTATTTGCTCCGGATTAGATCTAGTCCTCCTAGGCGTCACTTCCTTTAATGGTCCCCGATAACTATAATCATGCGGACCAGGAGGGGGAAGCCGGATGGGTAATGATGGCTTGGGCACCTCGACGAACGTGCTACCAGCTTTCATCTGCACAGGTCCGGCACCTGTAGGGTTACCCACTGGCACTACCTTAGGGGGCGGACTATGGGACACAGACTTACTGGCAGGCATCGAAGTGTCCGCGCCAGAGGCTGCGGCTTGCTTAGACTTTGGGCCGGCGGCCTCCGACTTCGGTTTGTCTGACTTGACCTTGGCTTCAACTTCGGCACGAGGCTTGAGCACGACCGGGGTTTGGCCACGATCAAGCGTGGGACGCCAACCCCCTCCGGCAGATGATGCACTGGCCGTCGCTTGGGCGGTCGCAGAGGCCTTAGGCGCAGCGGACCGAGATCGATCAGTGCGAGGGGGAGCGGCGGAGGACGAGGCTTTGGAGCCCGAGTTGAACACTGTCCTTGGTGGAGCAACCTTGGTTTCGGCCGAGCGCACGCGGCGAAGAGGCACGAAGGGATGGTCCGAAGTCCAGTATCCTTTGGGTAGCCTATACTTGGGTTGGGGCATACCTTGCAACAGTGTGGGATTGATGGAATAAAGGAACTGCCAAAGCTCAGGTAGAATGGTAGCCCATCGAAGAATGGTATCTACTGGCAGCAGCTCCCCGTCCATGTCGAATGCCCACCTGTCGGAGTGTCGAAGGACGTACCCGAACCACTCAGGGTATTGCTTGCGGGCCACCTGCGGTGGGATATGAGGGAGATTGAAACGGCGGCCGAACCGTGCGTATGTCGAGTCACCTAGCTGAGCGCTGATGTACTCGCACGTTGTCCCATAGGCGAGGTTTTCTTTCCCGGCGACGTGCTTCGCCCCGGCCCTGCAACCTCTCCTGCGGGCGTGGTCCCTCTCTCCCTGTCCCGCGCTTGAAGCAGCGGCTTCGCCACCCTCATTCTCCGGCTGTGGTCCTCCAATCTCGACGTCTGCAGGCTCCGGCTCGACGCCGGCCTCGGCTGCGGTGGCTTCCAGGGCAGCCTCGAGGTCGTACTGCTCCTGGATCCGTCGAGCGATGTCTTCGTTCTCCTCGTCTTCGCGGTTGATTCGTCGTCGTCTCCAAGGGGATCGAAAATATTACTAGTGGGGACAGGCGGACTATATGGGGTTGACGAAGCCTGTGCAATTAGGCGCTCAGGTGGGACGAATTCTTCAGGCTCATCCTGCATAGGGACCGGCTGGTCTTGGTCTACGGGGTTGAGGGAATTCGAATCCTCCATCGAGGCTTGGACGCTTAGGTCGATGGGGCCTGCAGCAGTGGGTTGACCTCCTAACGAATGCTCGGGGTCTTGCTTGACTTGGTCCGAGATGTTTGGAGAGGTCTCAACGACAGGGTCAACGGGTGCCGCGCCTAGAGCAGCGGCACCCTCGCCTGGCGGGTCCTGTCCGTCCCACTGGATGTCCGGACCGGCAAAGGGCTCCTCCGATTCGACTTCGCGGTCGTCAGCCTCAATCTCGGAAAACGGGAACAAGGTTGGTCCCGAACCTGCTGAGGACGCAGCACTACCACGTCTCGAACTATCGGTGCCCGCGCCTGCGGCAGCGGCTGGGGGGTTCAACGGCTCTACGAACAGCTCGAGGGCACTGGCGCCCTGTTCGCCTAGATGGACGAGCGATGTCACCTCCAGCTCCGGATCATCAATGCCTACTCCTAACGAATCCGCGCTTGGAGCAGCGGCTTGCGTCGAAGCGGCTGCTGGCACGGATCTTGGGTCAGGAACGGGATCACTTGGTCCTAGCGAATCCGCGCCAGAGGCAGCGGCTAGCGCTGACTCGGGACGGGGTGACCTAGGAGGTGTTACCCTGGGCATTGGGTCTAAAAGAGGCGGACTATTAGAGCTCGTAGGTTGGTTAGACCTACGGCTGATAACCAATGAAAGGGACAAGGGTTCCGGGATATCAGCCCCAAACAACCACCACAACCTACGGAGTGGAAGGTGTTCGGAAAGGTATCCTATTGTGTGGAGAACCCTAGTCCGAGAAGGTACGCGACGGGGAACCCCGGATGGGTTGGTGCCCGTGGTGTACCAGGAGTGGGGTGTGGACGAAGGAGCACCTACGGCAACCTAAGAACACACAACACGAATTGCACGAAATGCACGAATGCGTGTCGGCGCGACGATCGAACGATCGGCGTGACGGACGCTGAAACGCGCGGCGAGCACACGTTTCTTGAGCCAAAATCAAGGTCGGTGTGAAACGTGAAAAGGTTCAAACCGACCTAGTTGAACATGTTTGTACATACAAGACCGCATGACAAGTTAGGGGTTAATCTTGGTTGTTAAATTTCGACTATAATATAATATATATATATACTGTATATGTTTTAAGCCATAATTGCAAGTTACAAGTTACAGCTTGGCCACCAAGCTTAAGTTCTCAACGGTGCAAAGCAAGAGAGGCGTGCTGAAGGTGCCCACCCGTTTCTGTACTCGAGTCTTCCTATGAAGGTTGCAGAAGCATCTGGTTACCAACAAATCACCCTGCTTTTGGGCCAAAGCTTCTAGCTTTGCCTTCCAGGTCTGTTCCACTCACTGTGCACTCAGATCTGGCAAGCACACCCCTGCGCTGGGCTTCCTCCACTTCCGTCCACTGATCAGCTGCAGTAGCGAAAAGCAAGCTGCGCTGCCCGACACCCACACCCACCAGCCAGACATGGAGAGTTTTGCGCTGGCACTGGCCTCCTCCTCCTCCTCTTCTCCTCCTCCTTCTGCTTCTGCTTCTGCTTCTCCTTCATCTTCTTCTCCTTCTGCTTATCCTGCTTCTCTTCTCATTCTTCTGTGGAGGGCCCAATGCAAAGCTCCAACTGGCGTCCGTATGTAGGTGTGCAGGTCAAAAAAAGAAAAAATGCACACCTCACTCACTCTTGGTGCACTTCATCTCTGGTGCGTTGGGGCTCCCACCACAGCAAAGAAGGCATCGAAGAACGGATTCTCCACCACCCGTCTCGCCATTTGACCTGTCTTCGGTCTGTTCGAAGCTGTCTGGTTCCAAAGAGGGAAGAAGACGAGCTAAGGACTCATAGAGTTGAGGGGCCCCCCAATAGAGTTGAGTTGACAAAGGTAAGCCACCAAGCAAAACGACTGAGGCACTGGCTCCGTGCCATGTTTGACCCCAAAGGCAAGAGTCAGTCAGCTGGACTGCTTGAGCAGCAACAAAGAAAGCCCCTAACACGTGGCTTCTCGATCTACTCACAGTTGTGACCCTCGGTGGATAGTTGTGAATCTGCGCGTTTCGCCACCTCACCTAGAACAGCAGCACTTTCTCATCCGGAGTCTTGCTCACCCCGCACCATCACCCAGCTCATCCCAACTCAGCCGCCTGTAGTTTTGGACATCTGATGAGCTCTCGCACGAGCTTCTGACATCCTGCTGGCATAGCGTTGCCGGCTGTGTTGCCCATCGACGCTGGCCTTGGTACAAACACTCGATTGAGCTTGTTTGGGTACACGTCACGGGGATCCTGAAATTGCTATATACGGTGTATAATGTGAATTAATTTATCGAAAACACGTTGGGAACCATGTCTCCACTAGGTGTTGTAAAAGAACATCTCATTGCTTGAAGAACAAATCTTGCTCCAGGAAAGACCACCAAAGTTCGATCAATCCTTGCGTCCATCGCTGAGCGTCTGCCATCTCCACACGGTTCAAGTCCTCCGCATGAAAAGTGCTGAACAATTGTTCGCCATCCTGCAGGGGGCCAAGGACAGCGCTGGGTCACCTCAAAAATGCTTCAGGGGTCCACGATCATCCAAGGAAATGCTGACTTCCCTGACATCCGTTGGCATCCGTTGGAAAGATTCCTGTTGGCATCCGTTGGAAACAACGCAACGAGACGCATGATATGAACGCCTCCTTGAAGGACACTGGCACGGTGTTGGCCTCGGATGGACTTGTCGACGCTGGCACCAGAGCACCGGGGCAGTAAGAATTACATAGCGCCCCAGTAGATCCGCACTCAAAATGTATTGGAAACCGTGCCACTATCTGTTTGGGGACCATTTAAAAAAAGTTGTCCCTTCTTGTACCCTTGAACCCCTTGAACCCCCCCCCGAAGCCGCGGCAGCATGCTGGACCCTCCCTCGCGTTTCAAGCGCGGACCTTCATGAGGGAGAGGCGGCTGTTCTTCTGATCTGGCAGCGGGCCAAGCCCCTCAGAAAAGTCCTGCAGGTCCGATGGTCGGACTGATCGATGGACTGCCGAAGCAGTAGAATCGGTGCAAAGTCCCGTTCTGGGTGCGCCCATTAGGAACAAGTGCATCGCTACTAGTAACAAGTGCCTTACTAGTAGTAACAAGGACGCTATTAGGAACAAGTGCATCGCTACTAGTATCTTAGAAATATATAGAAATATGTCATTTGTTTTGGGTTACAGGGCCGGTCGTTGATCTGCCAGCACAAGCGTTTGCTGCGATGAATGCTTGGCTGGGTAGCAAAAGGCACAACAACACCAATTTGAGCTTGATATTGTAGTCATGCGCAGGCCGAGACCAGTTCCATACAAAGTCGAATCCTATCAGTTCGGACCATTCCAGCCCAGCTATGCTCATCATGTTTCTTTGAGATGATTCTGCAGTCAAATAGCCACACTATGCTCCTCCATTTATCTTCACAATGTTTTACTTCACTGTGGCCACACTAGATTCTGCCATCAAGTGGCCACAGCCACACTAGATTCTGCCATCAAATGGCCACACTATGCTCCTCAATTTATCTTCACAATGTTTGACTTCAGTGTGGCCACAATAGACTCTGCCATCAAATGGCCACACTATGCTCCTCCATTTATCTTCACAATAATGTTTGATTTCACTATGGCCACACTAGATTCTGCCATCAAATGGCCACACAATGCTCCTCCATCTATCAATCTGTTTGACTTCACTGTGGCCACACTAGATTCGGCCATCAAATGGCCA